TGAGAAGTTGAGAAATTGACGTGTTGTAAACTAACATGGCGCCGCCCATTCGCACATACAGCTCAACTATGCGATGTTATACAGGCATTTAAACAACAAAACACATCCACTTCCACATATTTGACAATCGGAATATCAGTGTTTCATGTTATAGCGAATACATTTGTGAACATTTTGAATAAAACAGGAAAAATTACATAAAAGCAGATCATCATTCATTCAGCTCTGTGTTATGGTTGCGCTGTGTCATGTGACAAGCAATGACGTGTCACCATGGAAACATTAAAGTGAGTGACAGGTTCTAAATAACGGTCGCCTAGAAAAACTCACGCAGGGGGATCAGTTAGAATAGTTTAAACTTACTTGTGAAAGGGTTATGGCTACTTTAGCTATTATTACATTAGCTAACTACCAACTAACCAGATAACATTAACAAATTGACAAGCACTTACTGGGCAGAATGGCTCTTCAAATGACGGACGAAATTTGAGGTTGTCGTCTGGCTGCCCGCAATGTTAATGTTGCATGTCTTGCAAAGCGCTGTTCGTCTTTTGCCATCTTGTGAATAATTCTTGAAGCCGAAAGCGATGACCCTCGGTACCCCTCCGGCTGACATTTTGATGTGATGTCTAAGTGGGCGTGGTGTGCGTAAGGTACGAGAGGGCATGACTGATGATAGTGTCGTGATCCAGTCGTGACAACGCTATTCTCAGCCTGCGCTCCAGCTGGATCAACTTGTTTGTTTTTTAAATAATTTAAATATTTTATATTCAAACTGAAAACATGATGTGATTAACACTCAAGTCATTCAAGTCATCGTGTCTCAAGTCAAGTCAAGTCCCGAGTCTTTAACTTCCAAGTCCGAGTCAAGTCTCAAGTATTTCATTTTATGTCAAGTCAAGTCACAAGTCATAAAAATAGCGACTCGAGTCGACTCGAGTCCAAGTCACCAAGTCACAAGTCCCCATGTCCGCCGTTTAGTGTGATAGTGTAACGTTAGACCAAGTGAAGCAGCGGTGTGTTACCTCACAAGTTTAATTCGTCTAATAAACTGACCTGTGTGATTAATCCAGCACTTGCGGGTAGTTCGGTAGAATTAAATGTCCTTATTCCTTTATATCCGCGGGACTCGCGTGTGATATCTGTCTCTGTAGCAATCGCGACCTGCTTCATACCACTGTAATGTTAAAAAACATGAATGTTTGCACTCATCCATAAACATTATTAGATCCATCAGCTTGACAGCAAGTCCCATCATTCAGCTAATCACTGCGTCATCAAACAACGCCTTTGTTATTGTAGGAAACTGCGCCCTCTTGTGGCGAAAAAACCTTACATATTGTGCCTTTAACCCCAATACTGTGCCCTTATCATAAGTGATAATCCTACATTTTGTGTCTGTTTCTGTGCATTTATTCCTTTAATAACTTAATGCCTTATAGTTGCATTTAGCAGTTACATTAGTTAGTACGTTTACATTTTGCAATGATATAAACCATCAAGCGGTTGAGATTTGCTATATAATATATGTCACTTTACATTGTGATTTATGTGGTTTACGTTTATGTGGTTCCACATAATCTAATAATAATAATAATAATACATTTTATTTATAATGCACTTTACATTTCAAAGAAATCTCGAAGTGCTACAATAGCAAAGAGGTTAAGAACAATTCCCAGAATATAATAAAATCAACAAAGCATTAAGACACCTTAAAAAATAAAAATTAAAACCATGACTGTTAAAAGGCCTTTAGAAATAAGAAAGTCTTTAGGTCCTTCTTAAAAACTTCCAGAGTTTGTGGGGCCCTTAGGGCCTCTGGGAGGGCATTCCAGAGCCGTGGGGCGACTGCCTGAAAGGCCCTGTCTCCCATGGTGGAGAGTTTTGTCCTTGGTTGGTGCAGGCAGTAGGTAGAGGTGGAGGAGCGGAGGTTTCTTGAGGCGGTGTGTAGGGTGAGGAGTTCACTGAGGAAGGCAGGGGCAGTACCATTTATGCACTGGTGGGTGAGGAGGTAGTTCTGTATTGAATGGGCAGCCAGTGGAGGGATTTCAGGACCGGAGGGATATGATCATATTTGCGCCTCCTCGTCAGGACCCGGGCAGCGCAGTTCTGAATATGCTGGAGCTTTTGCAGGCTCCTGGCAGGGGTCCCGACGAGGAGGGCATTACAGTAGTCCAACCTGGAGGAGATAAAGGCATGGATCAACTTCTCAGCATCTGGTTGTGAAAGGGAGGGGCGGAGTTTGGCAATGTTTTTGAGGCGGAGGAAGGAGACCTTACAGAGGTGACGGATGTGAGTGTCAAATGTAAGATTTGAGTCAAGTCTGACACCAAGGTTGGTAACATAGGTAGACAGGGCAATATGATGACCAAAAATGGATATACTGCTGAGAGAGGAGGACTGGGTTTAGTGTGGGGTACCAATCAGGATGGCTTCGGTGTTGCTGCTATTTAGTTGAAGAAAGTTGTCAGCTATCCATGCCCCTATCTCCTCCAGGCAAACCTGAAATGCAGATGGCAGAGCTGAGTGGAGTGTGGAGTCCATTTTTAAGTATAGTTGTGTATCGTCGGCATAGCAGTGGAATGGAACTTTGTGTTTATGGATGATTTGACCGAGGGGTAGTAAGTAGATGGTAAAAAGGGTTGGACCAAGGACAGACCCTTGTGGCACTCCACAGCTGACTGTGTGGGGTGATGATTGGGACTGTCCTAGAGCCACATACTCCGTCCTGGCTGTGAGATAGGACTGGAACCAGCTTAGTGTGGTCCCAGAAAGTCCTACCATAGACTGGAGACGGTGAAGCAGGATGTTGTGATCCACGGTGTCAAAGGCGGCCGACAAGTCCAGTAGGAGAAGGAGAGATGGTGAGCCCTGGTCTGCAGTCATAAGTAGGTCATTCATGACACGGACCAGGGCTGTCTCCGTGCTGTGTGCTGCTCGAAAGCCAGACTGAAATTTTTCATATATGTTATGGATGCGAAGGTGATTGTGGAGTTGGGCTGCAACAACTTTTTCCAGGACTTTGGACAAAAAAGGCAGGTTTGAAATGGGTCTGTAATGAGCCAGGATGTCGGGGTCAAGTGACGGCTTTTTCAGATGGGGGTGGATAACTGCAGTTTTGAGAGCTGGAGGGACCTGACCAGATTTGAGTGACTGGTTGAGGATTTCTGTGATCAGTGGACTGATGGCTGTAATTTTGAATTTTAATAATGATGTGGGGAGAGGGTCCAGTGAGCATGTGGAGGTTCTCATACACTTTATGATCGACTCCACCTCTGTGTGAGAAATGTCCGAGAAGACAGAAAATGGGTTTAATGTGTTTGTGGGACTAAATTCGGAGGAGGGTGAAACTGTGGCAGAGAGGTTGGACTGGATTGAAGCCACCTTGTTGGTGAAAAAGTCCACGAACCTATTGCACTGGTCTGTACTAGTGTCGGAATGTGCATAGGTGGGGGGTTTCAGAAGAGAATTTATTGATGCAAACAATTGTTTTGAATTTCCAGTGCACTTTGAGATTTTTTGAGAGAAATATTGAGACCTAGCTGTGATGAGTGCTTTGGAGTATGATTTTTGGTGTTCACGGTAGGCCTGTTTATGTACATGTAGGCCACTGGAGGTAAATTTACGTTCCAGGGCACGTCCAGCCGTTTTCATCCTCCGTAGCTCTGTTGTGTACCAAGGGGCTGACCTGGAAAAAGTAACTGTTTTCGTTTTGATTGGTGCATGTAACTCAAGGATATTGTAAAGCCTGGAATTATAGTGGTCAACAGAGCCATTAACTGATGCGAACTGTGTGACTAGTGAAATTTGCTGTACGTCTTGGTTGAAGAGGTTAGTGTCTATTGCTTTTAAATTTCTGAACCGGATTTGACGTTTTGTTTTATGGTAGGGACTTGCTAGGGGCAGTTCCAGGGAGATAATCTTATGGTCAGACACGCCCAAGTCATAGACTCTCATGTGGGTGATGGGGGCGGTGTCTGTTATGACTAAATCGAGAGTGTGGCCTTTTGTGTGTGTAGGTACTGTGACATGTTGTGTGAGCTGTAAGCAGTCCAGGAGTTCAAGGAACTCTGCAGCAGGGCGGTTTGTGGGGGAGTCAACATGAAGGTTGAAATCTCCCATAATGAGTGTGTTATGTGTTATTGCACAGAAAGATGTGAGTAGATCATGCAACTCAGAGATAAATCCAGGGTGTGGTTTAGGGGGGCGATAGACAAGGAGTATTGTTATTACTTCTTTATGTGATCTGAGTTTAAATGGAAGACACTCAAATGTGGTCAGCTCTGGCAGTGGGAGGGGGGTGGCAATTAGGTCTTTGCGATGGATGACAGCAAGACCTCCCCCCCGGCCGGTGGTGGTTCTGGCCTTCTCCAGGCATGTGTATCCTGGGGGGCAGGCTTCATTTAGTGCGAGATATGACTCTGGTTTGTGCCAAGTTTCAGTGAGGCACATCATGTCTATTTGTTTTTCAAAAATATGTTCAGATATTAAACTGGTTTTGTTTGTCAGTGACTGGGTATTGAAAAGGTCTATTTTTATTTCTGAGATGATCTTACATTTGGGAATAGTGCGAAGAAGTCTCCAGTGTTTCCCGTTCTGACGCAGCCCATTATTGGTCCTTGTGTTGGTCTTGTTCTGATGACGTAATTTCCAATGAGGCGTCTGGTCAGCGCCGCGGAGACGCAACAGGTGAGGGCGAGGTCCAGGTGGAGACGAGCCAATGGAGTCTCCGAGCCTGTCGAAAACGGACGGTCTGCGTTCACGTTGGGGTCGACGGCGGTGGGGCCCGCTTTCCACCATGCGGATGTGATGTGATGGCCCGGGATGTCGCTGCAGCGAGGCTGGCGTGCGCGGTCTGTCCCAAATAGACGCGCCGCTCCCGGGCTCCAGTGGCTCCGTCCTGTTGACCGTGTCGTCTGTCCAGGACCCCGGCGACACCGCACCGCTGTAAGTTGTCGATGGTGCTCCTGTTGTTAGCGGTGGTGTTAACATGGATCTCATCTGTTGGGCAGTTCAGCGGGCCGGCCACTGCAGTTTATTGGCGGTTTGTTGATCTGACAGTTATCAGCAACAGGCTTTGCAATGGTCTCAAAGATTTCCTCTTGATTAGCTGTTTGGTCAAAAACCTTCTGAAACCTGAAATTGTAGTTTTCCCTCTTATTGTTGATAAAACCATCCGCCAAGTCTCTGGGAACAACAAACTCCAAACTACTGCCTTGCTCCTCACAGTCCACAAAGTACCCCGAGGTGGGTTCTCTTACGAGAGGTTCTCTCGTATTGCGTAAGTTTAGCTTACGCTACGGGAAAGATTCATCTTCTCGAGATATTGAAGCCAAAAAATTATCCTTAATTTTGTATTCATTGTCAACGCAGTGCAGCAGCTAGCAGACCTAGAGCAGGCCATCTCGCGTGCTCATTGGCTGCCCTGCTGGCATCTGCTGCAGCCTACCAGTGAGCCCCGCGTGACGTCACGCCCAATGAACGGGCGCTCGCGCCTTCATAGCGTCACAGCCCGCCAGAATGGGCGTGGCTTAGCGTATAAAAGCAGGGGCTGTAGGCTGACTTCCCTGATTTTTCGACTCTTCAGCGAGCTCTCCGCATTGCTGGATCTGAGAGAAGCCACCGCCGCCGTCGAACAGCGAACAGCCAGCTTAGGACAGCGCTGAGGAAGCCGGCCGTCTTCGCCACCTTCAGCCATCCGTGCGAGCTACGCTATCCGGCGACGTATCCTTTTTACTCTGTTGTATTCTCTTCTAGCTTACTCCTAAAAGAGCGCGAGTGTCTTTTTAAAGATGCCTCGCATTTGCTGCGGCTCGTGTAGGGCCCCGGAAACAGCCGGAACCTGTGGCCACTGCGACGCGCTCGCCGGAGAACCTCCCTCGAGCCTCGCTCTCGCCTTCCCCCGCCTCTCTTCACCGACGCGCAGCTGCCGCTCACGAGCCTCACTGCCGTCGCGTCTGAGGATGAGGTTGAGGGACACGCCACAAGGGACTGCTGTTCTAACCGCGGCTAGCTTCCTTTACGTTACAAGGAAGCTACCGCGCCCACCATAGAAGCAGTCACTCCGCCCTTTGTGGGACCGCGCAGTGATAAGCGCCGTTTCCAAAGGCAGCCGGAGCCTGTAGCCACAGCGACGCGCTCGTCGGAAAGCCTCCCTCAAGCCTCGCTTTTCACCTTCCCCGCCTCCCTTCACCGACGCGCAGCTGCCGCTCACGAGCCTCACTGCCGTCGCGTCTGAGGATGAGGTCGAGGGACACGCTATGGACTGCTGTTCTAACCGCGGCTAGCTTCCTTTACGTTACAAGGAAGCTGCCGCGCGCGCTCTTATCTGCTCGCGCTACTTAAGCTTTCATAGTTTCCCCCGTGGCTCAGTGGCTAAACTCAAAGCTTTCGCGCCAGAGACCCGTGTTCGATCCCGGCTCTCGCAGCAGAAAAAATTTATGCAACTCTCCTCTATGAGCTCGCGACCAGCTTTCTTACGTACAGAAAGCGAGCGCGCGCCCCCGAGCGCATGCGTCACCGGCGAAGGAAGGAGAGAGTGTGGTTTTATGTCCCGCCGAGGCCTGACAAACCCCCTCTTTTTCTCAAACATTCTCCAGCTCCTCCTAGTTCGAGCGGCTGGTAATGTCTATACTGCAGTAGAGAGCCTGTTATAACACGCACGCCTGCAGACAATGCCGACACGCACACGAAAACTGTGATGACGCTCTCTCTTTTATCTGCTCGCGCCAACTAAAGCTTATGTTGTTTCCCCTGTGGCTCAGGGGCTAAACCTCAAGCTTTTGCCCCGGAGACCCGTGTTCGATTACGGCTCCCGCAGCAGATAAAATTTATGCGGCTCTCCTCAGCGAGCCGCCGTATTCAAGTTTATTTCCCTGTCAGTCCCCTTCAATCAGGCTACTGCAGTGGTCCATTTAGCAGCCAACGAGCCGGCTCATTTCCCCTCTCGCCTGCACACATACGCCGTTTTCACGGCGACCCAGAGAAAATCTCAAAAGAGTATAATGTCTGGTCCGGCTCACGCCGTTGGTGTTTTAAGTGTAGTGAAAGTGCCCACGCCCCAGTGTTCACCCCTACACACAAGCACATCAAATCTCGTGTCACTCACAGAGCACACTCTCATAAAGCGCAGAAAAGCCGCTCGAGTGTTGAATATAAGGAATGTGTCCACAGGTCTGTGCCCACTATCTGCCCGCTCTGTTACACGGTCAATAAAACAGGTTATGAATGTAAGTCTCGTGCCCGCCGGAGAGCGTTCACGCTTACTGACACACACCTCCCCCCGGGCGCCGCCCGCGCGTTTAAATGTTATCACAAAACGCAGGGCATTGATAAGACGCTCCCCATCCGTTATGATCGGGGCGTCAAATACACTTGTAAGTCTCGTGCCCGCGCACACGCGCTCACGCTTACAGAAAGCTTTTCCACCCAAAGCGCTGCTTGCGCGTCAAAAAGTGAGAATAAAATGCTCCCCATCCCTTATGATTGGGACACCTCACATAAATCAGACGGTCTCGGCTTTCAGCGAGCAGCCATTGCCCAGAACCGAGAGTGCGCGCGCCGCGCTTTCGGCTCCGGCTCAGTTTCACAAGCCCGCAAATGGCAGCGATCTGAACCCGGAGGCCATTCGCCCCCTAGCGGCTCACATAGCTGCGTGGGAAACTATCCCAGGGATTTCAGAATGGGTTCTGAGCACAATAAGCAGGGCTATACACTTCAATTCATTCGCCGTCCCCCGCGCTTTCGAGCCCGGACCGCGACGATAGTGAATGCGGAAGTAGCACACCTACTTCACGCCGAAATAGCAAAGCTGCTGTGCAAAGGGGCTATAGAAAAGGTGCCGCCTTCTCTGAGCGAGTCAGGCTTTTACAGCCGTTATTTTCTCGTATCCAAGAAGGACGGAGCCTTCAGACCTATCCTAGATCTGAGACATTTGAACAAAGTGCTTGTGAGAAGACCGTTCAAAATGCTTACGACCAGGAAAATCCTCGCGCACGTTCGCCCGAGGGACTGGTTTATTTCTCTAGATCTGAAGGATGCCTATTTTCAGATTCAGATAATACCCCGTCACAGGCAATTTGAGATTGGCCTTCGACGGTCAGGTATATCAATACACCGTCCTGCCGTTCGGCCTGTCTCTAGCACCCCGTACATTTACGAAGTGCATGGACGCGGCGCTCGCCCCCCTGAGAAGTCAGGGGCTGCGAATAAAGAACTATCTGGACGATTGGCTGATTTTGGCACAGTCAGAGACAGAGCTGCTATCTCACAGAACAGTGCTTCTCAGTCACCTGGAAAGCTTGGGTCTCACGGTCAACTGGACCAAGAGCTCATTACTACCCAGCCAGTCAATTTCCTTTTTAGGAATAGAACTGGACTCGGTGACCATGTCGGCTCGTCTATCGGCACAGTGCGCGCTCCGTGTTCGCCACCTAGCCGCGTCTTTCCAGAAGGACAGCTTTCTCCCTTTGAAAACATTTTAAAGGATGCTGGGCTGTATGGCATCAGCTGCAGCGGTGCTCCAGCTGGGCCTACTGCGCATGCGCCCGCTCCAACGCTGGTTGAATGCTCGCCCGTCCCGCCGAGCTTGGGTTTCTGGCGGTCAGAAAATCAGAGTGACTCAGACCTGCATAGCGGCTCTGCAGCCCTGGTTAGTGGCCGACTGGTACCAGCTGGGAGTGATGATGGGAACCATCTCTTATCGGAAAGTCTTTTCGACAGATGCGTCCAACTGGGGTTGGGGCGCGCTGTTCGAGGGCAGACCGGTCTTCGGCCAGTGGTCAGAGCAAGAGAGGTGTTTTCACGTAAACTGTCTGGAGATGATACCGGTCGAGAATGCGCTGAAGCGCTTCCTCCCGTTCATACAGGACCAACATGTTCTTGTCCGCTCGGACAACATGTCTGTGGTATCCTATGTAAACCGTCAGGGCGGTGTCAGATCCAGAAATCTCTGCAATCTGACGGAACGCCTCCTTATTTGGTCTCAGATGCACCTGCGCTCGCTGAGGGCGGCGCATGTGCCTGGCCATTTGAACGACGGCCCAGACAAACTGTCCAGGGACAACGTTCCCCCAGGGGAATGGTCCCTGGGCCCCCAAACGGTCCAGAAACTGTGGCGCCTATTCGGCAGGGCGGAAGTCGACCTATTTGCGTCAAAAGACAACGCTCAATGCCCGACGTTCTTCTCGAAGGACGAGGACGCGCTGGCCCAGGTTTGGCCCAGGCTCCGGCTATATGCTTTCCCTCCGGTCTCTCTGTTACCACAGGTGATCAAGAGGATCAGGGAAACGCGCCACTCGGTGCTCCTCATAGCCCCGCGTTGGGAGAATCAGATTTGGTTCCCGGAGCTAGCACGGCTGTCACATACAGCTCCGTGGCCGATTCCGGTGAGGGCAGATCTCCTCTCTCAGGCTCGCGGCACGATCTGGCATCCCCATCCAGAGCGCTGGTCTCTGCACGCATGGTTGATCAACAGGTACTCGTTGCCCTGCCAGAAGGAGTAATGAACACGATCGCGCAGTCTAGAGCCCCTTCCACGAGAAGGCTCTACGCGTCTAAATGGTCGGTGTTCTCTGGATGGTGCACCGACAGAGGTCTGGACCCGCGGACATGCGGGGTGGCGCATCTGCTCTCCTTCCTACAAGAGCTGTTGGATAAGGGAAGGTCCCCATCCACACTCAAAGTATATGTGGCGGCCGTGGCAGCGTTCGCAGAATCGACGCACGGCCAGTCTTTAGGAAGACATGAGTTGGTCATCCGCTTCCTTAGAGGAGCTAGGAGGATGAACCCGCCGCGCCCCCCGTCGGTTCCCATGTGGGATTTTTCACTGGTCCTAGAGGCCCTGAAAGCTTTTCCCTTCGAACCACTAAACTCCGTGGGGTTGAATATCTATCACTGAAAACCGTCTTTCTGACTGCACTGTCGTCAGTAAAACGTGTGGGGGACCTGCATGCGCTGTCTGTCAGCGCATTGTGTCTTGAGTTCGGGCCGTATGACTCTAAAGTCATCCTCAGACCTAGACATGGCTACGTTCCTAAGGTGATGGGCACTCCGTTCAGAGCGCAAGTTATCTCGTTGTCAGCTCTGGCAGCATCTGACAGCGAAAGTGATGTGAACCTCCTCTGCCCTGTCAGAGTGCTGAGGTTTTACATTACGCGCTCCGCCTTATTCAGGCGTTCGGAACAACTGTTTGTTTCGTTCGGTGGGCGCACCAAAGGTCTCGCCTCCTCGAAACAGAGCCTGTCCAGATGGATAGTGGACGCTATAGCAGCCGCTTACGCGTCAAAAGGTCTGCAATGCCCTCTGGGCATCAGGGCTCATTCCACGAGAGGCGTGGCCTCTTCGTGGGCATGGTCCAGTGGAATTTCTATCCATGACATATGTGTAGCGGCGGGCTGGAGCTCACCGTCTACCTCTGTCAGGTTTTATAACCTAGAAGTTCCTGCCTTGCAGGCTGAACTGTTGTCAGTTTAAAAGAGAGGTGTATTCTGCCCAGACCTCCTGCTCAGATCACTCTCACATGACTCAGCTCTCCTGGTTGAGCTGCACTAAGTAGGGTATGTGCCATGTGCCTATACAGACCGGCACGCTGCTCTGTATTCCCTATGTGTGCGTATGTACAAGTGATGGCCCGTGTGGCTGGCCACCTTATTCTCCACCTTACAGGGTTCCCCTGAAAGTTCGGGGTCTCATGGTGGATGCTTGGCGCGCACGGCGTTGACAAAGTGTTCCCGTAGCGTAAGCTAAACTTACGCAATACGAGAGAACCTCTCGTAAGAGAACGATACTCGGTTACTAACGTAACCTCGGTTCTCTCTAGAGAGGGAACGAGTATTGCGTAACCGGCCGTGCTCGCGCCACGAGCGACTTCACTTCAGTCGTCGAAAAACCAGGGAAGTCAGCCTACAGCCCCTGCTTTTATACGCTAAGCCACGCCCATTCTGGCGGGCTGTGACGCTATGAAGGCGCGAGCGCCCTTCATTGGGCGTGACGTCACGCGGGGCTCACTGGTAGGCTGCAGCAGATGCCAGCAGGGCAGCCAATGAGCACGCGAGATGGCCTGCTCTAGGTCTGCTAGCTGCTGCACTGCGTTGACAATGAACACAAAATTAAGGATAATTTTTTGGCTTCAATATCTCGAGAAGATGAATCTTTCCCGTAGCGTAAGCTAAAGTTACGCAATACTCGTTCCCTCTCTAGAGAGAACCGAGGTTACGTTAGTAACCGAGTATCGTTTCTTTGTCGGTTTCACACGTGCAAAGATTTGAATAGTTTGCTTAACCATTGTTTTATATTATAATTTTTAGTCTTTCATTATTATTGTTATTATTCATCCAAAGCACCCGTTTAGCTTCAATCTCTACTCAAATACTTCATGTATGATGAACTTAACTGATTTGAGTAAACTTAAACATGTCCAAATAACTAAAATAATCAAATTTAGCCTAACTGAAGTTTTTGAGTATAGAAATAACATGTTTACCACTGTCCATGAAATTAATTTAAAGTAAGACATTTTTAAGTATAGCTGCTAATAATAACACACTGTAACAAGCTAAACTTAGCTTTTCATGTTGGGTGTTGCATCATGGTTCCATGGCATTCAAATAGTAGTTGCTTATTTAATTAAAAAATACACTCACCGGCCACTTTATTAGGTACCCCATGCTAGTAACGGGTTGGACCCCCTTTTGCCTTCAGAACTGCCTCAATTCTTCGTGGCATAGATTCAACAAGGTGCTGGAAGCATTCCTCAGGGAGTTTGGTCCATATTGACATGATGGCATCACACAGTTGCCGCAGATTTGTCGGCTGCACATCCATGATGCGAATCTCCCGTTCCACCACATCCCAAAGATGCTCTATTGGGTTGAGATCTGGTGACTGTGGAGGCCATTTTAGTACAGTGAACTCATTGTCATGTTCAAGAAACCAATTTGAAATGATTAGAGCTTTGTGACATGGTGGAAGTAGCCATCAGAGGATGGGTACATGGTGGCCATAAAGGGATGGACATGGTCAGAAACAATGCTCAGGTAGGCCGTGGCATTTAAACGATGCCCAATTGGCACTAAGGGGCCTAAAGTGTGCCAGGAAAACATCCCCCACACCATTACACCACCACCACCAGCCTGCACAGTGGTAACAAGGCATGATGGTTCCATGTTCCCATTCTGTTTACGCCAAATTCTGACTCTAACATCTGAATGTCTCAACAGAAATCGAGACTCATCAGACCAGGCAACATTTTTCCAGTCTTCAACTGTTCAATTTTGGTGAGCTCTTGCAAATTGTAGCCTCTTTTTCCTATTTGTAGTGGAGATGAGTGGTACCCGGTGGAGTCTTCTGCTGTTGTAGCCCATCCGCCTCAAGGTTGTGCGTGTTGTGGCTTCACAAATGCTTTGCTGCATACCTCGGTTGTAACGAGTGGTTATTTCAGTCACTGTTGCCCTTCTATCAGCTCGAACCAGTCTGGCCATTCTCCTCTGACCTCTGGCATCAACAAGGCATTTCCGCCCACAGAACTGCCGCTCACTGGATGTTTTTTCTTTTTCGGACCATTCTCTGTAAACCCTAGAGATGGTTGTGCGTGAAAATCCCAGTAGATTAGCAGTTTCTGAAATACTCAGACCAGCCCTTCTGGCACCAACAATCATGCCACGTTCAAAGTCACTCAAATCACCTTTCTTCCCCATACTGATGCTCGGTTTGAACTGCAGGAGATTGTCTTGACCATGTCTACATGCCTAAATGCACTGAGTTGCCGCCATGTGATTGGCTGCTTAGAAATTAAGTGTTAACGAGCAGTTGGACAGGTGTACCTAATAAAGTGGCCGGTGAGTGTATATTGTTGTTAGCAGGCCCTCAACTTAAGCACATGCTCCACCACAATAGTAACCCCCAAAACACCAACATAACAGAAACCAGCATAATGGAACATTAAACATTAACAAGTCTCCCCATTTTATCATTTTGGTAAAAATTCATAAAATATCACTTTATTTCAACATTATTGCCCTATACAGCAAAGCATAATAGGAAGTGAAAATATAGTTTCAGTAATGCTACTTTGACACAAATAAAATCGTTCATGTATCTCAACTCGAATGGAGTGGTTAAATTTGATTAAATTAAGTTGTGACAACATCTTGAAAGAATTGTGTTGGATTAACCTTTTTATAACTATTTGAAGTAAACTGAACAAGCAGCAAAATTCATTTTTGACCTAATTAATTGAAACATGTTATTTCAAAATGAAAACATTGAGTTAACCCAAAAAAGTAACAGTTTCAAGTCAGTTTAACTCAATGCAACAACAAACCTAATAGAAATAAAAATGAATTGTTAAAAGAAAGTGATCAGTACAAAAAAAATTGTAGTAGAATGGAATATCCATCCATTAATTCTCTATGTAGGGGCGCAGGGATGCTGGAGTCGTGGGCTGTAGGCAAGTGTTGAAGTAACATCAGCCTATGTAAAGGAGAGGGTTAAATCAAGCTCAGTCGTTGAGGAAACATGATGAAATGCGAAGCCAATTCAAGCTCAGTCAATCACTGAATGAAACTAAATATTCTACAGGTTTTTATGCTTTTGCAATACAGAGCACCCACTATCTTTGATGCGTTTCAATCCATGCTAGCATTAGATGCATTAGAGATAATGCATCTATTACATCAATAGAAACATCTGAATTCCAACACTCACGGGTTGAACTAATGAAATAGAGCCCACGCACATACTCAGACGCAATCCGAAGGCTCTTATGGGCATTAAGGGAAGATAAATGCGATGGGGGTAATACAGTGACTCAGATGGCAGTAATAGGTTAAGTTGCCTCTGCAAAGGAAGCAGTTTTGGCATTAAGGTTAGCTAATTGTCACCCTCCCCATTCCATCCATGTCTCTTCCCTCCAAAAGCTTTCCTAATATCCTTTTATTATTCCTCCTTATAAAGAAGCTTGCGTTTTTCATTAATGAGCGTGTTCAGTCATTGTTTCTCTGTTTCTTTCTTCCTCGGTCACTGTGCTGTGTGTTTCAAGGACTCCTGGGAGATTGGAGTGTGGGGGTTGCAGAGACAGGAAAAGAATTGAAACAGCTGGACTATTGTTGTATTTTATGATTCCTTGCTGCGAAAAAACATGCTAGCAAAACGAGACAAAATAGTTAGGGTTAATTTAATGTTTTATTTTAGTGTGATTCATATTTTAATCACACTGACCTGTGAATTTTCTTAGCATCAGAGCGATTCAAGTTTGAAGTACCACATAACTGTCGGGGAGCATCACAATAAAGTGTTAGCAGATATTAAGCAGATAGTCTACTACTCTAATGAGAGTTAGTCAACAAGTAGTCGTAAAGTTACTAGAATGCTTATTGATTCCAAGTTGCATTTCCAATATGAAAAAAAAAAGAAGTCAAACATTTAGATATTAAACATTTTTATTCTGTCTTTTTTCAAAACATTCTGTTGCAGCTGAATACCATGAGAAAAATTCAGCATCCTAAAAATAAGCAACTAATAAACTAAACTAATATAAATTATTAAAAACAATAATAAAGTCGGTGATACAAGAAGAACAAATAAAACTGAAAGTTAAAATTAAATATAAAATACCACTGAATAGTTTTATTTTTATAAATATAGATTAATACTTATTAAAGTTACAAAAAGTTAATCAGTCAAGATCAGTGAGTGATGTTCTTTTTCTATTGTCATCAACAGTAATGACACAGATGCAGCAGGTTTATAAGCCTGCTGTCCCTTTAAGACCAAATTGAAGGATCCAATATACTGTAACATGCGTTTTCTTTCTCAACTGTTTAAGTTCACTTAAAGGTGGGATCAGTAGTTTTTGAAATATGCTGTTTGGATGTTGGTCGGTCTGACACAACAACAAAAGTGTAACCAATCAGCGGGGACGTATGACGGTGGAGGAGAGAGAACGAGCAAGAGGGAGATTTGAACTGAAGAAAGACTGCAGAAATAGAGCTGAGAGACACAGTACAAAAGAGAAAAGCTCAGAAGAAATCACTGGAAAATAAAGGGTTATGTCTGGGCACGACCTTTAGGACCCGTGTTAATATTAGAAAAGCTGTCCAGCGCCGGAGAGAGCTAAGCGGGAAGGCCTGAAAACAGACGCGGAGGTTGCTTTGATTCGGGTCCACATGTGAGTAAAACTGGGTTTCAGTGTCATTGTTTGTCAACCAACAACAACCAACTCTTGTTTGTAATTACTATTGTGTACTGCACGTTGATTTTTTGTGCTTCCTTGTCATACATTCATCATCTGCGCTTTATTTTACGTGAAGCATTATTCTGTTGCGTTTCTGTATAAACAGACGTCCACTCTTGGATTGCGTGCGTAACAGAGGACAGCTAGTGTGAGTCGCGCAGACGACTGCTAGTGAATGCGGGGTTAAGCACCATCGTAGTCCACTCGACCCCAGGTTCAGGGGTTTTGTAGGCGGAGCAATGAAGAAGGGGTGTGTTTGTTTGGGTTGATTTCAAATATCAACATTGGCTAACTAACAGCATATTTTAAAAATGACTTACCCCACCTTTAAGACATAACCGACTGTTTATGAGGATATTTTGACATCATTTTGTGAGTTTTTGTCCATTCAAGCTCAAGAAGACACGAAAGAGAAGTCAATTCAGTATCCGCATGCTGAATTGAGTTCTATTTTGCATCTTCTGGTTTTAAACCACATTAAAATGCGCACACAGGAATCGATAAGAGGAATAGAAATGTTGATTTTATAACAATCATCCGATTCCTGACCTCAAGCATCTGATTCCAGAATTGGAATCGATTTTCGATTCCCAACCCTCATCATCAAAGCTCAGTAAACACTGCATGCTATGAAAGGAGATGTTCCTTTAATTTCACCAAGATTAGTGCTCACTAAAAAACAGTTAGATCACAGAATGTTATTTACAGTCACTTAATATTTAGTTGAACTTGACAAAAGGTGGTGATATAAAAAGGGGTAAGATATCTAGCCTACTTACTTTTTTAATGAGTCTATTTACACCAATTTAATTCAGACTGATTTTTGTGAATTTTGTCTCATATTTTGTATTAATTTGCTTTGTTTCGTTTTTGTACCGGGGAATATTTTCTCATTCAATTTGAGAAGCACTGCCTCCCTTGCCTATTTGGAGAGAAAACCCTTGCACCGTCAAAGTTGGCGCTAATGCCAAAAGTTGTTGGAAAACAGCAACATGCAATTGCCAATTCGGCATTTGTACCGACATTTAAGAAATATTATGTGAATGTGTCCT